TCGGTTTGGTGGGAATTTTGGGGGGATTTTAGGGTCGGTTTTGGGGAATTTTGGGAGGATTTTAGGGTCGGTTTGGTGGGAATTTTGGGGGGATTTTAGGGTCGGTTTTGGGGAATTTTGGGGGGATTTTAGGGGCGCTTTTGGGGATTTTTGGGGGGATTTTAGGGTCGGTTTTGGGGAATTTTGGGGCGATTTTAGGGGCGCTTTTGGGGATTTTTAGGATTTTCCCCCTCCCAGGGAATTTTGTGGGGGTGACAAAACCCCGCGGGGGGTGGGGGTGGGGCAGATTTTGGGGGTCCCCGGACCCTTTTTTGGGGGTCCCCGGGAGGGTTGGGGACATTGGGGGAGGGGTGGGGTGGGGTGGTGGCCCCGTGTGACAACCTGGGGGTGGCGCGAGGCTGTCAATCATTAACGCGCCGCGCCCGGCACTGGTGACACCGGTGACACCGGTGGTGGCGCTGGTGGTGGCCCGTGGGGGAAACTGAGGCACGGGGACACCGGGGCTTCTGTGTCCCCGTCCAGGGGTGGCCTTGGAGCCTCAGGAGAGCCCCGGGGGTCGCGCGGTGGCCGGGAGGGGTGACATCAGTGTCCCCAAAAGTGTCCCCAAAAATGTCCCTTAAAGGTTCCCCCAAATGTCCCCAAAATGTCCCCAAAGTCCCCAAAAATGCACCTTAAAGTGTCCCCAAGAATGTCCCCAAAAGTGTCCCTTAAAGTTTCCCCCAAATGTCCCGAAAATGTCCCTAAAATGTCCCAAAAATGTACCCAAAAGTGTCCCCAAAGTGCCCAAAATGTCCCCAAAAGTGTCCCTTAAAGTTTTTCCCAAATGTCCGCAAAATATCCCCAAAAGTGTCCCAAAAAAGTCCCCAAAAGTGTCCCTAAATGTCCCCAAAATGTCCTCAAAAGTGTCCCTAAAATGTCCCTAAAATGTCCCTAAAAATGTCCCCTAACGTGTCCCCAAAGTGCCCAAAATGTCCCCAAAAGTGTCCCTAAAAATGTCCCTAAAATGTCCCCAAAAGTGTCCCCAAAATGTCCTCAAAATGTCCCCAAAAAGTCCCAAAAAACGCCCCCAAAAGTGTCCCTAAATGTCCTCAAAATATCCCCAAAAGTGTCCCTAAAATGTCCCTAAAAGTGTCCCCAAAATGTCCCTTAAAGTGTCCCCAAGAACGTCGCCAGGTTTTCCCCAAATGTCCTCAAAATGTCCCTAAAAAGTCCCTAAAAATGTCCCTAAAAGTGTCCCCAAATGTCCCCAAAGGGGTCTCCAGGGATTTTTTTTGGGGTCTTCAGGGATTTTTTGGGATCTCCAGGGATTTTTTTGGGATCTCCATGGATTTTTTGGGGTCTCCAAGGATTTTTTTGGGGTCTCCAGGGATTTTTTTTGGGATCTCCAGGGATTTTTTGGGATCTCCAGGGATTTTTTTGGGATCTCCAAGGATTTTTTTTGGGGTCTCCAAGGATTTTTTGGGGTCTCCAAGGATTTTTTTGGGGTCTCCAAGGATTTTTTGGGATCTCCAGGGATTTTTTGGGATCCCCAGGGATTTTTTGGGGTCTCCAAGGATTTTTTGGGATCTCCAGGTATTTTTTTTGGGATCTCCAGGGATTTTTTGGGGTCTCCAGGGATTTTTTGGGGTCTCCAGGGATTTTTTTTGGGATCTTCAGGGATTTTTTTGGGGTCTCCATGGATTTTTTTGGGGTCTCCAAGGATTTTTTGGGATCTCCAGGGATTTTTTGGGGTCTCCAGGGATTTTTTGGGATCCCCAGGGATTTTTTGGGGTCTCCAGGGATTTTTTTGGGATCTCCAAGGATTTTTTTGGGATCTCCAGGGATTTTTTTTGGGGTCTTCAGGGATTTTTTTGGGGTCCCCAGGGACTTTTTGGGGTCTCCAGGGATTTTTTGTGATATTTTCCAAGTTTTTTTTGGGAAGTTTTCCAGGGATTTTTTTGGGGTGAAATCTCCAAAGTTTTTTTAAAATTCCCCCGGGGGGAATTCCTCCCGTTCCTTCCCCTCCCCCCGTTTTTAACCCCTCCGGTGCCGGTTCTTTCCCCCTCCGGTGCCGGTTTTTTCCCCTCCCCCCATTTTTAACCCCTCCGGTGCCGTTTTTCCCCCTCCCCCCCCCGTTTTTAACCCCTCCGGTGCCGGTTCTGCCCCCCCGCCCTCCCCGGGGGCGGGTCCCGGGGCCGGTCCCGCAGCGCCGCCGCCTCCGCCGCTCCCGGCTGCCATTTTAAGGTGAAACAAAGCGGCGGAGGAGGCGGCAGGTGAGCGGCTCGGTGGGCACCGGAACCCCCGGTACCGGTACCGGCACCGGCACCCCCCGCTACCGGAACGGGAGGGAGCACCGGGGGTCTCCGCTCGCCGCTGCGCACCGGGGCGGGGGGGGTTGGGGGGGGTTCGTCCTTCGGAACCGCCGGGCTTCTCTCCGGTACCGGGTACCGGCCGCGGGGGTCCAGGGCGGTACCGGGTTCTCCGTCGGTACCCAGGACCCCGCCGGTACCGGATTTTAAAGCGGTACCGCGGCTCCCAGCGGCTCCAGCCGGTGCCGGTCACGGGGATCCAGAGCGGTACCGGGAGCCCCAGCGGGTCCGCACCGGTACCGGGTCTCCAGCGGCTCCAGCCGGTGCCGGTCACGGGGTTCCAGAGCGGTACCGGGAGCCCCAGCGGCACCCGGGTCCCCGCCGGTACCGGATTCCAGAGCGGTTCTGGGGTCCCCACCGAATCCAAACCGGTACCGGGGTCCGCACCGGTACCGGATTCTAAAGCGGTGCCGGGTTCCCTCCAGGGTCCGCACCGGTACCGGATTCTAAGGCGGTACCGGGAGCCCCAGCGGCTCCAGCCGGTACCGGTTACGGGGTTCCAGAGCGGTACCGGGAACCCCAGTGGCACCCGGGTCCGCACCGGTACCGGGTTCTGAAGCGGTGCCGGGTTCCCTCCAGGGTCCGCACCGGTACCGGATTCTAAGGCGGTACCGGGAGCCCCAGCGGCTCCAGCCGGTACCGGTTACGGGGTTCCAGAGCGGTACCGGGAACCCCAGTGGCACCCGGGTCCGCACCGGTACCGGGTTCTGAAGCGGTACCGGGTCCCCTCCAGGCTCCGCACCGGTACCGGGATCCCCAGCCTGCTCCGCCCGGTACCGGTTACGAGGTTCCAGAGCGGTACCGGGTTCACAGCGGGTCCGCACCGGTCCCGTCCCCCCCCGACCCCACCGAAACCCCCGGTCCCGCTCCCGGTTCCGCTCCCGGTCCCGCTCCCGGTTCCACTCCCGGTTCCGCTCCCAGTTCCGCTCCTGCTCCCGGTCCCGCTCCCGGTCCCGCTCCCGCTCCCGCTCCCGGTTCCGCTCCCGGTTCCGCTCCCGGTTCCGCTCCCGGTTCTGCTCTCGGTCCCGGTTCCGCTCCCGCTCCCGGTTCCGCTCCCGGTTCCGCTCCCGGTTCCGCTCCCGGTTCTGCTCTCGGTCCCGGTTCCGCTCCCGCTCCCGGTTCCGCTCCCGGTTCCGCTCCCGGTTCCGCTCCCGGTTCTGCTCTCGGTCCCGGTTCCGCTCCCGCTCCCGGTTCCGCTCCCGGTTCCGCTCCCGGTTCCGCTCCCGGTTCCACTCCCGGTTCTGCTCTCGGTCCCGGTTCCGCTCCCGGTTCCGCTCCCGGTTCCGCTCCCGGTGTCCTCCGGGCTCCCACCGGGATTGGCGGATTTGGGATTTTTGGGAACCGGGCCCCCCCCGCCCTCACCGGGCTCCCCCGGTACCGCCGGAACCGTTTTGGGTTTCCCGCAGGAGTTCGGGTTTTGCTGTTCCGGGATCTCCGCGCGGCCCCGGGGGGTCCCCGCGCGGATTTCGATGATTTTGGGACCCCCCACGCCCCCAAAATAAAATTTTTCCAGCCTGGATTCGTCGCTTTCCCGGCGGCTCCGCCCTCTGCAATGATTTTTAGTTAATTATTATTAATTATTCTGTTTTTAATTATTTTAATGATTCTATTTTTAATTATTTTAAATTATTCTAGTTTTAATTATTCTATTTTTATGGTTATTTTTATCGTATTTTTATTTCTATTTTTAGTTTTTATTTAAATTTTCTTTTATGTTTTTATTGTCATTTTAATTATCTTATTTTCATTTTTATTTTTATTTTTATTTTTATTTTTATTTTTATTTTCATTTGCATTTTTATTTGCATTTTTATTTTCATTTTTATTTTTATTTTTATTTTCATTTGCATTTTTATTTTTATTTTCATTTTATTTTTATTTTTATTTTTATTTTTATTTTCATTTTTGTTTTTATTTTTATTTTTATTTTTATTTTCATTTTTATTTTCATTTTTATTTTTATTTTTTTTCATTTTCATATTTATTTCTATTTTCATTTCTATTTTCATTTCTATTTTCATTTCTATTTTCATTTTTATTTCAATTTTAACGATTTTAATTTTCATTTTCATTTCATCTTTATTTTCATTTTCATTTTCATTTCATCCCTATTTTAACCTTCATCCTTTTTTACTTTAAATTTTAATTTCAAATTTTCATTTTTATTTCTTTTTTAATTAATCATTCCATTCAATTCCCCCCATTTTCATCGCGATTATTTCCATTTTTAATCCTCCCGGATCAGCGGAGGCCAAAACCGAGAGAATTCCAACAATCCCAATTAATTCCCTGCCCGGAAGGGACAGGGAGGTGACACCGAGAGCCCGGCGTGACTCACCGTGCCTCAGTTTCCCCACCTCAAAACCTCCTGGGTGGTGACGCCGTGCCTCAGTTTCCCTTGATGACTCCGTGCCTCAGTTTCCCTTGCTGACTCCGTGCCTCAGTTTCCCCAGGAAACTTTTTTAAGGGGTCTCCCAATTTTTTTTTTGGGGGGTGGTCTCCGAGTTCTTCCGGGGGAGGTCTCCCAGATTTTTTTAGGTGGGGTCTCCAAGCTTTTTTTGAGATTTCCAAGATTTTTTTTGGGGTGGTCTCCAGGATTTTTTTGTGGGGTCTCCAGGATTTTTTTGTGGGGTCTCCAGGATTTTTTTGTGGGGTCTCCAGGATTTTTTTGTGGGGTCTCCAGGATTTTTTTGTGGGGTCTCCAGGATTTTTTTGTGGGGTCTCCAGGATTTTTTTTGGGGAAGTTCCCAAGGCTTGTTGAGAGCGGATCTCCAAATTCTTTTGGGGGAGCTTTTCCAGGAGGAATCTCCAGGCTGTTTCTGTGGGGTCTCCAAGAATTTTTTTGGTGGGATCTCCAGGGATTTTTTTGGTCGAATCTCCAAGCTTTTTTTTTGGATTGGGATCTCCAAGTTTTTTTACGGAACCTCCAAGTTTTTTTTTTGCAGAAGTTCCGAGCTTTTTTAGGTTGAATCTCCAAGCTTTTTTTTTGGATTGGGATCCCCAAGCTTTTTTTGGATTGGGATCTCCAAGCTTTTTTCAGATTGGAATCTCCAAGCTTTTTCCCGTGACTCCTCCGAGTTCCTTCACATAGAAACCTCCAAAGCTTTTCCTGACCTGCATCTCCAAACTTCCTGGAGGATTTTTCTGGATCTCCAAACTCCTCCTGGAGGATTTTTCTGGATCTCCAAACTCCTCCTGGAGGATTTTTCCCAATCTCCAAACTCCTCCTGGAGGATTTTTCTGGATCTCCAAACTCCTCCCGGAGGATTTTTCTGGATCTCCAAACTCCTCCCGGAGGATTTTTCCGGATCTCCAAACTCCTCCTGGATGATTTTTCTGGATCTCCAAACTTCCTGGAGGATTTTTCTGGATCTCCAAACTCCTCCTGGAGGATTTTTCTGGATCTCCAAACTCCTCCTGGAGGATTTTTCTGGATCTCCAAACTTCCTGGAGGATTTTTCTGGATCTCCAAACTCCTCCTGGAGGATTTTTCTGGATCTCCAAACTCCTCCCGGAGGATTTTTCTGGATCTCCAAACTCCTCCCGGAGGATTTTTCCGGATCTCCAAACTTCCTGGAGGATTTTTCTGGATCTCCAAACTCCTCCTGGAGGATTTTTCCCAATCTCCAAACTCCTCCTGGAGGATTTTTCCCGATCTCCAAACTCCTCCTGGAGGATTTTTCCGGATCTCCAAACTCCTCCTGGAGGATTTTTCTGGATCTCCAAACTCCTCCCGGAGGATTTTTCTGGATCTCCAAACTCCTCCTGGAGGATTTTTCCGGATCTCCAAACTTCCTGGAGGATTTTTCCGGATCTCCAAACTATTCCCAAAGATCCCTTTTTTCCCTCCCGGCTTTTCTCCGGCCGCTCCACCTCGGCGTGGCCGCCTCCACCTGGTGACAACCTGGTGACAACCTGGTGACAACCTGGTGACAACGGCGCGACCAAAGTCCTGCAGCGCCCGCAGCACCTCCCCGCAGCGCTGTTATCCCTGTCCTTTCCAGGGATGTTCCCCAAAAAACCGTACGACGACCCCGCCGCCGCTTACGGACCACCCCCGCCAGCCTTTGGGCCACCACCGCCGGGATTTGGGCCACCGACCGGCGATTTCGGCTACGACTTCACCTCCCGCTCGCCACCACCGGGCTCCTACTACGTGGAGGACGTTCCCCAACATTTCTACAAGTGGTGGTCGCCGCCGGGGCTGGTGCGGGCGCTGGAGGCCGCGGTGATGCTGCTGTGCGTCGCCGTCTTCGCCTGCGTGGCCTCCACGCTGGCGTGGGAATACGGCTACGGCTACGGCGGCGTCTACGGGAACGGCCTGGGAGGGTTCTACGGCTCCGGTTATTTCGGCGGAGGGGTGAATTACGGTTACGGTTATTACGGCGGCGTCACCAACCCGCGGACGGCCAACGGCTTCATGATGGCCATGGCGGTGCTCTGCTTCCTGGCCCAGCTGGGCTTTTTGGTGGCCGGTTTGAGCAGGTCGGGCGGGTCGAGGTCGCGCCGGTTCTACCTGGCGGTGCTGGTGGCGAGCGCGGTGCTGGCGTTGGTGATGTTGGTGGCCAGCATCGTCTACGTGGTGGGGGTGAACCCGCAGGCGCAGATGAGCGGCGGGGGCTACTACTACAGCCCGCTGCTGGCCATGTGCAGCCAGGTGTACGCGGGGGGAACCGTGCTCAACCAGTACCTGTACCACTACTGCACCGTGGACCCCCAGGAGGTGAGGGAGGGGTGGGAAAGTGGGGAGGGCCCCCCGGGAAATGGGGCAGGGACTGCCGGGAAATGGGGCAGGGACTCCCAGGAGGTGAGGGAGGGGTGGGAAATGAGGGGGGGTCCCCCAGGAGGTGAGGGAGGGGTGGGAAAGTGGGGAGAGACCCCAGGAAATGGGGGAGGGACCCCAGGAAATGGGGGAGGGACCCCCAGGAGGTGAGGGAGGGACCCCGGGAAATGGGGGAGAGACCCCCAGGAAATGGGGGAGGGACCCCGGGAAATGGGGAAGGAGCTCTGGGAAATGGGGGAGGAATCCCCAGGAAATGGGAGATGGAGTGAGGGAGGGACCCCCAGGAGGTGAGGGAGAGACCCCAGGAAATGGGAGAGGGATCCCAAGGGAAAGAGGGAAGGAGCCCCGGGAGATGGGGGAGGGATTCCCAAAGGGTGAGGAAGAGTTCCCCAGGAGAAGAGGGATGGATCCCTGGGAAATGAGGGAGAGACCCCCGGGAAATGGGGGAGAAACCCCCCGGGAAATGAGGGAATGATCCCAAGGAAAGCAGGGATGAGGATGGCGATCCCAGGGGAATCGCAGGAATTCCCAAATGCGAGAGGGACCCCCACAAAAAGGTTTGGGATTTGGGAAGGACAGGAAAGGTTTGGGAAGGACAGGAAAGGTTTGGGAAGGACAGGAAAGGTTTGGGATCTGGGAAGGACAGGAAAGGTTTGGGAAGGACAGGAAAGGTTTGGGAAGGACAGGAAAGGTTTGGGAAGGACAGGAAAGGTTTGGGATCTGGGAAGGACAGGAAAGGTTTGGGATCTGGGAAGGACAGGAAAGGTTTGGGATCTGGGAAGGACAGGAAAGGTTTGGGATCTGGGAAGGACAGGAAAGGTTTGGGATCTGGGAAGGACAGGAAAGGTTTGGGATCTGGGAAGGACAGGAAAGGTTTGGGATCTGGGAAGGACAGGAAAGGTTTGGGATCTGGGAAGGACAGGAAAGGTTTGGGATCTGGGAAGGACAGGAAAGGTTTGGGATCTGGGAAGGACAGGAAAGGTTTGGGATCTGGGAAGGACAGGAAAGGTTTGGGATCTGGGAATCACAGAGAACCTTCGGGATCGGGCTCATCCCACAGCGTGAGGGAGAGACCCCCAGGAGCGCTCGGATCTCCAGGATTTGGGAATAAATCCTTGGCAAAGGGGATTTGGGGCAGGGAGAGCGGATCCCGAGGGGTTTTCCCGCTGGAATCCCGGGATTTGGTGGCTCTGCGTGTCCTGGCCCCGATCCCCGTCTGCCTTGGGATGAGCGGGATTTATGGGACGAGTTGGGACTGTGGGAAGGACCGGGACAATCCAGGGCTGGGAGAGAGGAACCGGGACAATCCCGGGATGCAGGAAATCCCGGGATAATCCCTCCCGCTGCTCCCGGGAGTTTCGGGGAGGGGACGAGCCCCGGAGCCGCTTCCCAGTTTCGGGAACTTTGCTCTCCCGGCTGTAAAATCCTTGGAGCGGAGCCGGGTTGGGGAAAAACAGGGAAGGTTCGGGATTTGGGACAGGGGAGATTCGGAATTCGGGAAAGACGGAAAAATTTGGGATTCGGGAATCAGCCCCGCCCCCTCGCCCACCTCCCCTCGCTCTGCCCCGCGCCAGCCCCAAACCGCAGCGATCCCAAATCATTCCCGGGATCCCAAATCATTCCCGGGATCCCAAATCATTCCCGGGATCCCAAATCATTCCCGGGATCCCAAATCATTCCCGGGATCCCAAATCATTCCCGGGATCCCAAATCATTCCCGGGATCCCAAATCATTCCCGGGATCCCAGATCAGTCCCGGGATCTCAAATCATTCCCGTGACCCCGATCCCTAAACACTGGCAGGAATTGGGAGCGGCGGGGCCGCAATCCCAAATCATTTCCCGATCCCGATCCCAAACCATTCCCCGATCCCAAAGCATTCCCATTCCCGATCCCGGCGCTCCCCGCGCGGGGTTGGAATGCGGCTCTTCCAGCCCGGCCGGGCCCGGCAGCGCCCGGAGCTGACCCGGGACGGGCCCGGGAGAGCCCGGGGGGAGCGGCGGCAGCTCCGGACCGAACAGCCCCAAATCCTTCCCGAACCCCAAATCCCAAATCCTTCACAAATCCCAAACCTTCCCTGTCCTTCCCGAACCCCAAATCCCAAACCTTCCCTGTCCTTCCCGAACCCCAAATCCTTTCCTTACCCCAAATCCCAAATCCTTCCCGAACCCCAAATCCCAAATCCTTCACAAATCCCAAACCTTCCCTGTCCTTCCCAAACCCCAAATCCTTCCCAAATCCTTCTCAAACCCCAAACCTTCCTGAACCCCAAATCCTTCCTGAACCCCAAACCTTCCCTGTCCTTCCAAATCCCAAACCTTTCCCATCTTTCCCAAATCCCAAACCTTCAAAATCCCAAAACTTCCTTAATCCCAAATCTTCCCAAATCCCAAAACCTTCCTTGTCCTTCCCAAATCCCAAATCCAGCCCCACCTTCCCAACCCCCAAACCTTTCCCGTTTGGAGTTTGGGATTTGGGAAGGCCAAGGAAAGGTTTGGAATTTGGGAAGGACAGGAAAAATTCGGGATTAGGAAAGGACAGGGAGAGGTTTGGGATTTGGGAAGGTTTGGGATTTGGGAAAGATGAGAAAGGTTTGGGATTTGGGAAGGATTGGGATTTGGGAAGGACAGGAAGAATTTTGGATTAGGAAAGGATAGAGATTTGGGATTTGGGAAGGTTTGGGATTTGGGAAGGATTGGGGTTTGGGATTTGGGATTTGGGATTTGGGGTTTGGGATTTGGGGTTTGGCATTTGGGATTTGGCATTTGGGAAGGTTTGGGATTTGGGAAGGTTTGGGATTTGGGGTTTGGGATTTGGGGTTTGGGATTTGGGATTTGGCATTTGGGGAGGTTTGGGATTTGGGAAGGATTGGGATTTGGGAAGGTTTGGGGTTTGGGATTTGGGATTCGGGAAGGATTGGGATTTGGGAAGGTTTGGGATTCGGGAAGGTTTGGGATTCGGGAAGGTTTGGGATTTGGGAAGGTTGGGGATTTGGGCAGGGTTGGGATTTGGGAAGGTTTGGGATTTGGGAAGGTTTGGGATTTGGGAAGGTTTGGGATTTGGGAAGGTTTGGGATTTGGGAAGCTCAGAGAATCTTCGGGATCGGGCTCATCCAAAGATTTCGGGGATGGAAATCCCACTCCCCGCCGACGAGCCGGTGATGATCCCGGGCAGAATTCCCAAATCCCGATTTTCCTGGCAGGCCGTTGCCATCGCCTGCGGGTTCCTGATCGTGCTCCTGCTGTGCCTCATCTGCCTCTTCGCCCACAAAACCCGCAGCAAGATCTGGAAATACGGAAAACACAACATTTACTGGGATAAAATCCCGGCCGCGCCCGAGGGGCCCGACGTGGAGGAGTGGGTGAGTCCCGGGATTTGGGGGATTTTGGGGATTTTGGGGATTTTGGGGATTTTTGGGAATGGGATCCAGGAGATCCTTCCTGGCCCTTTTCCCAATGGGGCTGGATGTGGAGACCTGGAATTTTGGGAATGTTGGGAATGGGATCCAGGAGATCCTTCCTGGCCCTTTTCCCAATGGGGCTGGAGGTGGAGACCTGGAATTTTGGGAATGTTGGGAATGGGATCCAGGAGATCCTTCCCGGCCCTTTTATCAGTGGACAAGTGGGTGAGTCCCGGGATTTTTGGGATTTTTGGGATTTTTGGGAATGGGATCTCTGGGAGATCCTTCCCAGCGCTTTTCCAGTGGAATCCAAATTCCCGGATTCGGGATGGGAGCACGGGGACGGCTTTGGGGGATTTAATGGATTTGGGGACACCGGGAGGGGTTGGGGACCCCAAAAGCTTTGGGGACACTGGGGTGGAATTTTGGGAATTTGGGGGGGACCAGGAGGGGTTGAAAGCTTGAGGGAGGGGTTGGGGACACCGGGAGGGGTTGGGGACACCGGGAGGGGTTGGGGACACTGGGAGGGGTTGGGGACACCGGGAGGGGTTGGGGACACGGCCAGGGGACACTGCCAGGTGCCACCGCGCGCGGTTTCGGTCTGGCCAATGATTAACCGGGAGGTGGCACCGGGAAAACCCGGAATTCCCAGCGCCAGGAGCTGCTGGCACCTGGATGGGGACCTTGGGGACACGGCCTTGGTGTCCCCAGCAGTGTCCCCAGCGCGGCCCGGGAGGTGTCACCTCCTGTCCTCTGGGGTGGGAATGTCACAGCATTCCCAGGGGAAGGCGGGGAGGGGATTTGGGGACATTCCTGTCCCCTGTCCCTGTCCCTGTCCCTCTGTCCCTGTCCCCTTGTCCCCCGTCCCCTTCCTGTGCCCCCCGTGTCCCCTCACTCCTCTGTTGGTGTCCCCACATCTCTCTCCGGGTGTCCCCAACCCTCTTTCTGTGTCCCTCCATCCCTGTCCCCTGTCCCCAAACACTGTCCCCATCCCTGTCCCCTGTCCTCAGTCCCTGTCCCTGTCCCCTGTTCCTGTCCCCTGTCCCCAAATACTGTCCCTGTCCCCAAATACTGTCCCTGTTCCCTGTCCCCAAACACTGTCCCCTGTCTGTCCCCTGTCCCCAAATACTGTCCCTGTCCCCTGTCCCCAAATACTGTCCCCTGTCTGTCCCCTGTCCCCAAATACTGTCCCTGTCCCCTCTCCCCAGTCACCTCCCCCTGT